GATGGTCCCTTCGATCGAAGGTGATCGGGCAGGAGGACCATGGGTTGAACTTTGGGGCGACTGGCTCCAACGCATAGACGTCCTTGAGAGCACGCTTCCGCTCCCTTTTGGGGATGTGGGTTGCGTATATCATGTTCACCGTCCGAACTTGCGGGGGAAATCCCTTCTGTCCTTTGTTGTTCGGCGGCCGGGGCTCCTCCTCATCATCGCTATGTAGCCCCTTGTCTCTGGTTTCGGCGCTTAACTTGCCTGCCTGCTTGAAGACCCAACAATCCCTGTTGGTGTGATTGGCTAGCTGTTCGGGGGTGCCGTGTATCTGGCATGAGCGATCGAGTATCCGGTCTAAGCTGGATGGGCCCGGAGGGTTTCTTTTGAATGGCTTCTTCCGCTGACCGGGTTTAGAGCCTCTGAATCCGGCATTGACTGTCGTATCTTCAGTATTGTCACCGTTAATGCGGCGCTTATGCTTGTTGCGACGTGACCTGCCGTTGTTGTCCTTGGTATCCGAATTACCGGGGCTCTTGGTTATATTATTGCTACGAGCTAGCCAGCTGTCTTCTCCCGCACAAAAGCGGGTCATGAGTGTCGTGAGGGCTGCCATAGATTTGGGCTTTTCCTGTCCTAGGTGCCGGGCAAGCCATTCATCTCGGATGTTGTGCCTGAAGGCTGCAAGGGCCTCGGCGTCCGGACAGTCGACTATTTGATTTTTCTTGGTTAGGAACCGTGTCCAGAATTGTCTGGCTGATTCCTCTGGCTGCTGGATTATGTGGCTTAGGTCATCGACATCTGGTGGTCGCACATAAGTGCCCTGGAAGTTGTCAAGGAATGCGGATTCCAGGTCCTCCCAACAACTAATTGACTCTGCTGGTAGGCTGTTAAGCCAATGTCGAGCTGGTCCTTTAAGCTTGAGCGAGAGGTATTTGATGGCGTGTAGATCATCACCACGGGCCATGTGGATATGAAGGAGATAATCCTCGATCCATACCGCAGGATCTGTTGTGCCATCGTATGATTCGATGTTTACGGGTTTGAAGCCCTCGGGGATTTGATGATCCATTACTTCGTCTGTGAAGCATAGTGGGTGTGCGGCGCCCCTGTACTGGGCTATATCACGACGCAGCTCGGATGAGCTTGGTCTGTTGTATTCGGCCAGGCCGTACTTATTATGTCGGCGTGACGGTTAGCGTCACGTGAAGCGGGGCGCCCATGCGATCCGTAGATCAATCTTGTTTGCCTTGCCTTATTCTCCAAGATGTCTCGCAGGTCTGTTGCGTCTCCCCATACTCTGGTATGTTTTGAGCGGTGCCGGGGTGCGGCTTGGGTCGAGGGCCCGAAGGCCTCTCTATCGCAGCCACGGGGTGGCCGATCGGGCGCATCGTACGCTGGTGATGTAGGTTTAGTTGCTTCCTCCTCAAGTTGGGGTAGCAGCCTGCTCTTTGGGTAGCTCTTGGAGGGGCGTTCTAGTTTATACTCTTCGGCCGCCAGGAATTCGGTCCATCTGTCGGCTAGCAAGTCTTGGTCAGCTCTAAGCTGCTGTTGTTTCTTCTTGAGGCTGCTTGCCATGGCCACAAGCCTGCGTTTGAAATGCTCTTGTTTGATAGGATCCTCTGGCACAACGAATTCGTCGTTGTCGAGGCTTGCCTCGTCTTCGGAGGGAGGCATATAATTGTCGTCCTCAACCTCTCTGTCGGCCGCTCTCTCATGAGGGCTGGCTCCTTCGTCCTCCTGCACTGAATCCTGCTGGAGGGGGTTGTCTTTGGCACTGTCCGGAGTGTTGTTATCTCCGGTGCCGGAATCGCCGTTTTTGCTTTGGCGGGACTTAGAGCGGCGCCGCTGACGTCGATGCTTGCCTTGCTTCTTGGAAGGATCATCCTCCGTTTTTTCCTCGCCATCCCCCGCTTTAGGGGTGTCCACCATGTATATGTCATATGACGAGGTGGCTTTCCAGTTCCCTATAGGTGCTGGTTCTTGATCGTCTCCTTCATCGGCGTCTATGCCGTCGATGTCTTCGGAGTCAAAGTCGAGCATGTCGGTTAAATCGTCGACAGTGGCTACAAAGTGGGTGGTTGCTGGGCTTCGAATTTCTTCGTCGTCCGCATCCCAACCGTGTTGGCCGTAGTTCGGCCAGGGCTCTCCTGACAAAGAGAGAGACTTTAATGAATTCAGGATATTGCCAAAAGGCGAGTGCTGAAAGACGTCCGCGGCGGTGAACTCCATGACCGGAGCCCAATCGGGCTTAATCGGAAGAGGTGCGGGATTTGCGGAGTCCGGAGCGGAGTCCGACACCTTAGAGTCACGGGCCTTGCGAAGGACTAGGCTGGTATCCGGCTCTATCGCCATAGAGGTTGCAGCTTCCGGGGCGGCGTCCAACCGTCCATCCCCGACTAGCGCAGTGGGCTCCGAGCTAATGGTCGGAGCGGACACCTGAGCGACGCTCTGGGGTTGTCCGGCGGCAGAGCTAAATCATGCCCATCGTGACAGTGTGGCGCGCCCGGTTGCGGCTCAAATCCGTCGAAGATCAAGTCCCCGCAGATGTCGGCCGTGTAGTTTAAGCTTCCAAACTTGACCTGATGGCCAGGGGCGTAGCTTTCGATCTGCTCCAGATGGCCAAACGAGTTGGCCTGCAGTGCGAAGCCGCCGAATACGAAGATCTGTCCGGGGAGGAAAGTCTCATCCCGGACCGCATCGCGATTGACGAGCGAAGAAGCCATCGGGCCTAAAGGCGACGACACAGAGGAACTCTCAATGAAAGCACCAATGTCGATGTGAAAACCGGTGGATCTCGGGTAGGGGGTCCCGAACTATGCGTCTAGGTGGATGGTAACAGGAGACAAGGGACACAATGTTTTTACCCAGGTTCAGGCCCTCTCAATGGAGGTAAAACCCTACTCCTGCTTGATTAATATTGATGATATGGGTAGTACAATAGTAGATCTACTACGAGATCCGAGTGGCTAAACGCTAGAAGCTAGCCTATGGTATGATTGTTGTTCGTCCTACGGAATTAAACTCTCCGGTTTATATAGACGCCGGAGAGGGCTAGGGTTACACAGAGTCGGTTACAATGGGAGGAGATCTTCATATCGTATCGCCAAGCTTGCCTTCCACGCCAAGGAAAGTTCCATCCAGACACGGGACGGAGTCTTCAATCTTGTATCTTCATAGTCCAGGAGTCCGGCCAAAGGTCTTAGTCCAGCCATCCGGACACCCCCTAATCCAGGACTCCCTCACCTGCCCACAAAAATTTAATGACTTATTAATCGCTAGTCAGGCTTGAGCCTAAAATAAGGTTGTTTTCTTACCTGCCTGTACCATGTACACTGCATACCGAAACATGTTCAACTCGGAGCATATAAAAAATATACAGTGCTTTCTAAACCCAATTAGCCAGTATTCATATATAGTAAACAATGACTTCCATAGTGCAAAACTGACAGAAGGCATTGAAATCATTAACGAATATGCAGAATTTGGCATGTGTTGGTAATTGAAAAACATTCAAGGATACAATATCTTTGACTTTAGCAGAAAACAAAACATTGGTATAGTTTCAACTCTCAACAAAACCACTTTAGCAGTAATTTAGCAAAAGTACAAATTATCCCAGACAACCTGCCTATAAAATGCGAAGACGAGCACGAACAGGATATTAAAACCGATCCATGTTATGTGCTAAAGCCACAACACCATACCTAAGCTACTGCAAATCATAAGAACTACAACCACTATTTTGTAATCCAATCTACAATACATGTACAATATCATATTCTCAAATAAAGAAGATAGAATCATCAGCGTCAATGTACTGTCCATAAGTGCATTGATGTTTAGCGAAAAAACTCCAGGAAAAGAAAAGGAAAGAATGACACATTACACATGATAAATGGGTGGCTTGTTAAGATGCAGGGACACTATTTAATTACATCGAAAAAAATGCAAATCAAGTGCTTGAAAGGCCAAATGATGGTGCGAGGTAACTCAAGCATGCCATAAGCAAGGCTGTCGTGTCCAAAACGAGATCCTTTTCTATATTTGATTGCACAAATCAGTAAGTCGAAAGTCGACACCAAAAGGTAAACAACCATACATTAACAATGAAGTGTAAACATGTTAATAAATAATGAATGGATGAAGCAACACAAAAGTACAGAAAAGGCAATCTACTCTTAAGGCCTGACACACAAAATTTTAATAGGATGCTTAGTGTATTGAAGGAAATGATCGTACTTCAGTTATACATTGCACAAAGGTATATCCAGAAGAACACTTGGCTGACCATATAAGAGTATAATTATGTAGCCGCATCATATACCGTAGCAGCTTTAATAACAAGATTGGTACCTAATCACATTATAGCCAACGACAGCTATCCGGCGGCATCAATAACCTGATTGGTACCTAAGAGCAACATAAATTTCTCTTAGTAACAGTCCATGCAAAGTATGGCATCTAAACCTTCCAACATAAACATAATTACATAAACCTTATAGAAATAAGGAATTGAACAAATATGTATGCGCAGAGTGCAGACCTATTCACAGGTTAGCTGAAGCAATATGGAAAATTCAAACATTAGTTGTTATGATATTATTAATCGCAAAGCAGTATGGGCTACCATCAGCGCGACATTACAGGGTGGCAACTTCGGCCTTTGTGGTCACAAGTTTTCTAAAAAGCAAGATGGATGGATAGCTACCTCAGCAGCGTTGCTCCTGGAGAATTGTAATCCGCTCTTTTAAAAATGAACAGAGAAAATTTGCAATGACCAAGATGTCCACTTCTTCAATTACGTAGTCATATATCAAGGTCTAGAGTATATCTATCCAGGTCATGACAAATTCAAACTGAAAGCAAAATAGATTTCAGGAAAGCTATATTGTGACCAAACATGTAAGAAGATAATTCTACCGTGCAAGAGTACTTTTAGGACAGGGTTACATTTATAAAGAAGACAGTTGACAATGATGTTTCATAACCTCAGTTTTGCTAGTTGTAGGTTGTTAGGGAAGTGATGCATCACCACTGCTCATTAATCCTGATGAAAAGAATAGAATAAGGAGTTCATACATAAGTATTAAAATCAAGCCAGCATAAATTAAAGTATGGTTCTATACATCATGTTTTGGCACATAACCTGCAAAATGAAATATATATCTATATTCCCAGCGAGCAGCTACTATGGTGTGGTAATAACCTGATGTTAGGCATACATCTATATCCCCAGCGAGCAATTGTGGTGCAGATACGTAGTTAGCTTGAGCCTAGACAAAATTTATAGAGTGAGCTAGTTGGTGTCAGTTTTTTCATTACCATCTGGGACAGTGGGTTTGTCCATTTTCACATAGTTCACACCTTTCTTCTTCCTCGACAGCAAGCAAACCCAAAGGAAGCCGAGTACCGCGACCAACGCAACGGCCTTGGTGGACATGAACCAATCACAGCGCAATTGAGAAAGTGTGGAGTTTTGTTGTTGCTGGTCGGAGAAACACCTACTTGATGACCAAAAGAAATGACGCACATCAGTTAATCACACATTCTACCAATTTTCAGAAAGTAGTCCCCAGATTATACTCGAAAGCATGGTTAACTGAAATTTGGTAGCCAACCATACACAGAAGCACATAATGGCACCATGTGGTTATAGCAGGCAAAAGGAAGGCCTGCCAATACTAATTGCTCAGATACTAATTTTTTACTTGGCACAGCCTCTACAATACTCAGTGATGGCATACATGACAAACAAAAGATCGTGTAGGAAACACTACCATTCTGCATAGCAGAACTACTATCCATCCCATTCATCTGGATGTAGAAGAATTACTTTTCTATCTTGCCAGTTCACTAATCAGTACAAAAATGTGACGTTGCTGAAGCTAGCAGCTTGCTTATCTTCATGATAGCTCCAATGATCCACACTTTAAGAACAAAATGCAAGGCATTATTAACACTGTATCATTGCTAATAGACCCATCTTAGTGCTTATACACCCAGCCTAAAATATGAGAAGAGCAAAAACAAGAATCTGCATACGGAATAACAATTAGATTGGTCTGAAAGCTCCCTTCCCCAATTCGAATTTTGTTCTCTTGCGCACACATCAGACCAACACATATGATCTGAAACAAGAGGAACAGCGGGCTAGATACCTTGGAGACAATCCATTGCATCTGGACCTCGAGGTCAGCAAGAGAGCACGTTTTGTGTGGTAGCCACAAGCATCTGGCTGTCGATCTCTGACTCAGGCCACCACAATCAATGGAGAAAACCCTCATCTCAGCCTGGGAGCAAGGAGAAACATCAACTATTGTAACTACCTCTCATTGATGAGAAGGCAGAAGAAGCTCACCCAATAGAAGAAAGGAAGGTGATAACCAGAGGGATGACATGCTCCACCCCATGTCGTCGTCCTCGTCCTTGGCCAGGCGATGAACGCAGGAACACCCTCTTCAATCCCCGCGTCCTCGCCCTCTTCCTCGGTCAGCCCTCTTCCTCGGTGTTAGGCAGTGGGAACTGGAAGAAGAAGGATCCAGGAGTGGATCGAGCCGCCACCAACCACCAGGTCGCACCTGACCTCGCCGGCGCCGGTCGGTGACCCTCTCCCGTCCGCCGCCGGGCCTCCCTACTCTCCTTCCTGCTCTCCCTCTATCCCATCTTCTCTCTCCTGCAGGGACCGATCCATGTGGTCACCCTTTGCCGCCGCCACCGGAGAGGCTCGCCTCCACGGCCGCACGCCTTAGATCCGGCGGGAGGAAAAGGAGGAAGCGATCCGCACTGGCCTGTTCTCCGACGGCGGCGACATGCGCGCGAGCGATGGGAAGGCGAGGTGGTGGAGGAGGAGCCGAGGGCGACGGCGGCGTCCTTGGCCGAGCGCACGCACGGAAGGGAGAGGGAGGGGTGCAGCTGCTCGTGGGGGTCGAGGGGAAGGAGAAAGGAGGCTAGGGTTCCTCGTTTGGTGGCTGGGGTGGGGCGAGAGCCGCGAGACACCGGTGATTGGGTGCGGAGCGCCCGAGCTGATTGGGAAAATCCTCCTGCACGCCGAAACAGACAAACCAACCAACGAGCGCCCGACGTGAGTCCACTTGTCATTGGACTACGAAAATGACCGTGAGGTAAAATTAGGTTTGACTGCAGGTGAAGATCCGACGGTTCAGACACTCTAGATGGCCAGATCGGACGGCCGACGAAGACCGAATCGGGGGAGCCTCCTGGAGGTGAGTTGGCTAGCCTCTTTTTTGTTTTAAATAATAGTTTAGTCAAATTCCACATCAGAAAAATACATTCCCACAATTAGTTTAAAATTACACAAAGAGTTATTACTGCTCCATGCTTCACATTAATCTTGTGACATCTATTATAGAAATACCTTTCATTTGTTCAAATAACTCAAAATGTAAGGGATAGATCGCATCGGCAAATTTTCTCTTAAAAAAAATATATATAACACCTGCAACTTCTCCAGGTACATGATAATACATTAAATCTGAATATTCATTCCGTGGTTAATAGTTCTCTGGAATACTTTGCACGTCAACATAAGCTAAATTTCCATATATCTAGCTAATTGTTTTATAAACAAAGAATTGGACCAAATATGTACGTGAGTTCTTACGTTGTGACATTTTCTACACTATTATTGGTTATTTATCATTCTCAAGTTCACATCAACATAATGCCCATATTTCCTGAGCTTATTGATTTTTTTTCTTGTCTAGAGTCTAGGAAACTGCAAGTTGATTCTATTTGAAAATTTTCATTCAGATGCAAATTAAAAAGTCCACAATACTGTTGTGCCTTCGTCGATCCATGCAAACTCATAATAGACCATTAAATCAACAATGAATGTAGCATAAATTCCATGCAGGAACAGTCGACTATGCTGGTTGTGAATGTCATAATAGACCATTAAATCAACAATGAAACTATGCATAAATTCCATGCAGGAACAGACTATGCTGGTTGTGAATGATGATACAAATAACATTTAAACTCATGGAGTGTGTTTCCCGCTCATCAGTCCAGTGTAGATAGTTAGGCTTCGATGAATTATTAATAGACTTGCTTCCAAAGTGGTTGTGAATGATGATACAAATAACATTTAAACTCATGGAGTGTGTTTCCCGCTCATCAATCCAGTGTAGATAGTTAGGCTTCGATGAATTATTAATAGACTTGCTTCCAAAGTCGGCTTGTGCACGCCCACGACCGATGCGGTCCAGCAGTCGTCCTCCCGCATGTAGCATGCCCGTGTCTGAGGCAGATGTGTGGACCGGCCGGCGAGTCCATGGTCTGAGCAGGTGAGGCCGGCGTCGTGCAATCCCGGTTAGACGCCATCCAGGGCACACATCCGCAGGTTCGTGCATACCATTGCCCTTCAGTCCGATGCCCCATGTTGTACAGCCCGCCGCGGAGAGCTAGCGATGGGCACTAGTGCAGAACCGGCCTTTAGTGCCGGTTCGTAACGGCCTTTAGTGCCGGTTTGCCAACCGGTACTAAAGAGTGGGGACTAAAGCCCCCCCCCTCTTTAGTACCGGTTTATTACGAACCGACGCTAAAGTGACACCACGTGGCACGAGCCAGACCCGTGTGCGCGTAGGACATTAGTACCGGTTGGTAACATCAACCGGTACTAAATGTTTGGGGGGTTTTGGCTTTATTTTCCATTCAATTTTTTTTTGTTTGCTGGTATTTCACGATACTACAAATTGTACACGTTATGCATATATATAAACAGATTTTCTCGTACGTAGAACTGCATATATATATATATATATATCATTAATTATTCACGCATACACATATGTATATACACATACAATTTCTCCTACATATGTTGCCTTTGGTGCCTCCGGAGCACGATGACAAGTGGTTCACGGGGGTGATAGCGGGTAATAGTATTCTCCTTTGGGATCTATGACCTGATCGAGCAAAAATCCGGCTATTTCCTCTTGAAGTGCTAGTATGCGGTCCGATGGTAGGAGCTTATCTCGCACCTCTCTGAACTGTTAAGAAGGAGATCAATATGCATGTGTGTTAGTTGTGTGACTAGATATCGATAATAGTGTGAATAGTATTCTGACAAACGTACCCAGTCCTGTCTATCAGATCTGCTCCTTTCGCCGTTATCATGCGAATGTTCTCGCAAACGTAGAATGCACACAGATTATTCCCCGGCGCCTGCTTCAGGGCCTTTACGAGAATGGAATTGAATCAGATAATGATTAATCAAGCATGATAATTAAGTAATGATATTGCAACAAGAATTAAAGAGATGGTAGCTAGCTAGTACTACTTAATTACATACCTTTGGTCGATGCCAAAACAACTTTTTTGCCCACTTGCCTAGAGTCACCTTGATGAACTTTGCCCATGCCCTGCCCGTCGGGAAAGAAAATTAATAAAAGGGTTATTAAATAGTTCGTATCAGGAAATGACGAACTAATAATAGGCTGAGATATAGTTAATAATGATTGAAATTACCTGTTGACTATCCCTTCACGATGTTGAAGTCTTTATCTGCTTTAGTTAGTGAGTCCAGTAATTCAACTTTTCCTTCCTCAACTTTAATGTCTAACAAGACCCAGTGCCAACTGCATGCGCACACGTTTACATGTCTTAATTAAGCGGGCATGTGCATAAAATTAATCAACTACCGTAAACTATATACACTTAATTATTAACATCTAGCTAGCTAGTAAGCAAAAATAGAATTTGTAGTACAAGACAGTGTGACTCACGGGAAGTTGTAAGGAAGTAGTATATCTTCATTGCTATTGAGGCGCTTCAAAAACTTTAGCATGCTTTTCTCTACATCATCTTGATAACATTCAATCTACCATATGTCCTCATTAATGGTATTTGGGTCAATGAACCCAACACCATGGCGTTCAGATTTTTCCATTTCATACATCTTCATCCTGCATATAATACCACAGAAAAAGAATATAGTGAGGATAATTACATGTAATGATTGATCAAAATTATCACTACATTACTAGCTTGAGACTTAAATTACAGAAAGAAATCACTTACAAACAATAGCAACTGACGATAGACTTGTCGAGTGCGTCTTGATTGTATAACTGAAATAGTTCTGGATACTCAATGACCAGAGCTTTCTCATGGTAATAATGCTCATGCTTGACATTCACCATGAGGGACTCTCGATTGGAAATCTTGGTAATGTTCGTGTACCATTGATGCAATTGATACATTCTCGTTGGGAGGTCCTTGACCTTGTCTGGATGGACCAAAGGTTGGCCCCGGACATATTTCCCTGCTATTTCCGATTCTCTAAGCGGAGACATGGGCTCGATTTCGAGGAGTTGTCCAACAGAGATATTGAGCATTTGAACCTGCATTATATGATACTCCGTTATTACCACATCGCCATGCTGGGGAACGCTAACGGTTTGCCCACAATAATATTTGGCGCGCGTACTCCTCTCATGTGTTGTTGGCACAACAAGCGGGGGAACGGTTTTCCCGCATTTTTTGCCAGCTGCTTGTTGGCTCGAGCTCGA